ATGTTAAACAGGACAGGCCCCAAAAGCAAACGACTGGTGACCGGCCGCCACCTGGATTTAACTCCGTTCAACACGACTCTCTGGGCTCAGCCATCCAGCCAGTTTTTTATCCAGCAAAGGGTGTTCCTGTCTAAGCCATGAGCCACGAGCTTTTCTAGAAGAATGCTGTGGGACACAGTGTTGAAGGCCTTGCTAAAGTCCAAGTATATAAAAAACCATCCCACGACCTTTTTTGGAGATTTTGGAAAAAGAATTGCTGCATTAAAGTATCTGTAAATTTGCTGTGAAACACCTTCTGGAGAAGCAGCTCTTTGGCATTAAAGGATGGCCTCTTCCCCCCTCTTCTCCCCCCTCAGTTACGTTAGAAAGCAAAACCACAATTTCATCTGATCTTTGCAAATCATATCCAACTTATAAAACACATAGAATTCTTTCAATTTTCTAATTACTGAAACTAGTTCTCATTTCTACTAAGAAAAACTTGTATTTCCTCTGTTCTAACATCAACAGTGCAAACTGTAAAGGAATTTTGGGATTATCTGAAGTTAAATTCTGTTAATTCAAACTGAAGCATTTATTACACCTATAAAAAAATACAAACTCCTTTGATTGCAGTAATTACAAGTTACTCTTGTTTTAACATAAAACAAAGTTAAGCAGTGGAATGCTGACCGTAACTCAGACAAATGAGAGGCTTTTATTCCTTCCAGCCATTCACAAAACAGTCCATGATTTATACTTGATTTTATGCAAAAAACCCTCTTTACTCATTATCAGCTTGAATTTATTAAATACCCACCTATAGTTAGAGAGACACTCTAGCATTTATGATACACTGCTATACACAGGTCTACTCTGTACGACCAGCTCACCTCTTTCAGAACAAGAACGCAGTTGCCAGGTCCCACCGACTGCGGAAGCTCTGCAATCCTGCCTTTGTTAAGGTAAGGCCCTGAGAAGCACCGGTGGTTGAAGTAGATCTTTGGGCAGCAGTACTTGCCATTAATCACCACTGAGAAATGAGAAAGCAAAGATTCAGATAACACACTACAACCTCCTCAGCAAAGACTGACACCTTGCAATAAATAACTCCTTGCCTGCTGTACAAAAGGACGAGGAAAAGTCTTGAATGACATGAATTTGGGCTATTTTCAGTGTCACATTTGCAAGGACAGCAGTAGTTATTTGATGTTGCCAAAATATTTGCGTACTTCAAAACTGTCAAACTGTAGGAAATAAAGTTGGTCATCTATCAGAAAAGAAACATTTCTTCCTGTCTAGTCTGATGCCTCATGGTATTACACCAGTGAGAATGGGCAAAAAGATGACAATCCCAACTTTCTGGTAGCAGAAGCACTTCCTACACAGCAATTATGGATAAGTTTTCCAGTCAAGTAATTATCTCTCCCTCAAACTTCTGCCACCAGAGGAGCCGGCAAAGTTATTCTCCACTGTTCATCCTAAACTGCAATCTCACATTGCTTTGCATTTTTAGACTCTTTTCCCTCAACCAGCAAACAAAGGATGCAGCAACTGATGAAGTGGCCTTTGATGAAGTGACATCAAGTTTTCTAAACCTATTAAATGGTTCAACGCTGCTCAAAATTAAAGTTATGCATAATATGCATGGCAAGATACTTATGTATAAATACAAAATTGTTTTACCCTCGCAGTGCTGTAGTTTTCCTTGATTAAGCAACACTACCACTTAAAGATCCTAAAGTCAGTAGTTGATAACTGTCAGATAAATAAATGAAGTAAAATTTACATCACGACTCTATTAAAAGCCAATTAAAATGCTAAGCAAGCACGAATCATTTCTATGAAGCCTGCATTTGGTACAGCTTCAGATGTGCACTTCACTTTACAGAAAACAGCAGAAGAGGCATTTTGTTGCCAAACAGATAGATCTGTGTGACTGTTTCACCAGCAGATGTACTTATTCATCATATCCATTCTTGCAACAGTTTAGAAAATTATTAGATTTCGCCATCTGGCACACAAAGCAGTTTACTGTTTGAATTGCTTTTGTTTATCATGATGATGAAGTTATCATAAAAAACAGACAAACCTGCTTCCCAAAGCTAGACTCTAACAACTCACAAGCACAGATGGAGCGTGCCTGTTATGTTTCTCCCAACACTACTAAACATAACAGGTGACAATAAAAAAATCACCTGCATAAGCCACAGTAAACATTTGGCTTCACATACCCTCTGCTGGCAGTGGGTGGGATGTTCTGATGTAAAAATCTAATTTCCAGGTTTAATGCATGTATCAATCGCAGGATACAAGTAATGGTATGTTTTTGTTTGCTTCACTCTTTTTTGAAGCTCAACAAATCAGCAAGGGATGAAAATCTTCAAACCCTTTCCTCCTCTCCCCTCTCCTAGCAGAAGAGCGTTGAGCAGCTGAATAATGAGGCAGCTGAACTGTTACAGGATTTTGCCTTTGTTAGCCTGCCCCCTCTGATCAATACCTGAGTCAGAAGAGTTCAGTTCCTGGTTCTTCAGTCCATCATGGACTGTCCTTGAAGACAAAATTCTGAAATGAAAAGAAGATTGGGAAAAGGGACAGATGGCAGGGATAGTCACCTCGCAGTTACTAAAATCCAACCATTAATTTTTCTTTTTCCTCCAGGTCCAGTCTTATTAATCTGCTTTTTATACCTCCACTGTTTCACATCAACAATATGCAAGGACCACCAAATTCAATTTGGAAAGGACTACTGTACTGCTACAGCAGGCAGCAATCCTTCCTTGCCTGAAGCATATGGGCTACAGCGTGCTGATAAACACACCACCCAAAGCTACCGACAGCAGTTCACGTTTTCTGCCTCCTTTTAACTTCATTTCACATTACAAGGCACAAGGCAGTGTACAGTCCTACTTTATGCATTTTGAAAAAGATGGATTTTAAACAAAATACAATCAAAATGACTCAAGCACTCTGGTAAGAATTCCAATTACAAAACATGGCAGAACAGTCTGCTCAGTATTTTAGGAGCAATGAAAACATTGGCAGGACTACTGACAGATCTGGTGTTTGTAAAGTTGTAAGAGTCAATAAAACCAACTGTCAGGCATTCTACTGAGCATTTTTGAGCAGGCTCACATGGAGGAGTTTCATATGCATGACACAGAGTTTATAGACAAATTGTAGATATTACCAGAACTCTCCCTTCTGGCTAGTCTGCACCAAATTTCGTCTGGGAAGGAACTATTAGACAACACTCACACTAAAGCTATTTTTTCTGATTGGCTGTGCAAAATCACAGCTACATGTTAAGGCAGCTGCATTTTCTAAGCATGTTTACATTACAGAAACTGTACTATTTGAGAAGGGAATACAACCAAAAGGGAATCTAGTAATTTTCCCTATTAACCACCATTAAAAAAAGGCTCAAGCACAAACTTATAAACACAGTCTTAAGATCAGGCTAGTTTTTCTTAAGTGCACTCCAATATGCATAGATAATGCAATCTTTTAAAAAAATGAAATATCAACAACTTCAACCCCAGAACATCAATGATTTGACCTATTCAATAATTCAGCTGAGTTGCACTAGCATTGTTAAAAAACAAATTCCATGCTTTCAATCTCCTGCGATAGCAGTGCAAGAAGTCTTTTTCAACATCAACAGGAACTACCAGCAGTAAGACATAGAGACTGTGCAATCTCTCAACCCTCAGTACTCACTTCTTTCTGTAAAGCTAAATCTCCCCTAAGACACCATGATTTACCAATTAGAAAAAGAAAAAATAAACCAAACCCCAACAAAAAATAAAAGCAAAAAACCTGTTACTTACTGTTTCTCTGGTTGAACTACTGCAATTTTTTTCTGCTTGTTTACTGGAAGGAAGAAGAAGAAAATATAAACAGTAAGGTATGGGAGGCAAACAAATGAAACTTCTAGTACAATATATATATATGAGACTCATTTCCTCTAAGTTATACGTCAAAAAGAATCTACGTCCCACGTCACCACGCTTAGGTAGCTGACCCATCTGCACCAGAGACATGCTGGCCCATGTAATCTGAAGTAACCCAAAAGGTTTACTTCAACCTTCACTAAAAATTCCTTAAATCAGGCATGCATACACCCCATCTTCTAGGAAATCTCACCTTTCGTGCATCTTTCTGTGCATCATAGCCCCCAAACTACCTGTAATATGAGCCACAAAGGAACGATACGCTTTCCTTTCCAGCACCCAAAGGTGTGTGACCTAAACAAAGGTCAGGTTCACAGACCCAACTCACCACTTTGCTGACACAGAGAACTTCAACACTGTTCAGTGTTGAAATGGAATGAAATGAGCTGGTTAGAAACACATACGACTTAAGCCAATTGCTATGGAGGAAAACACTTGCAACTAAGAAAGTCAACTAGGTGATGGGTCCACTTGCTAATTCTGGCTTTCACAATCAGGTAATAATATTAAACACGGTAATGCAATATGTGCCTCTTCAGCAACTTCAGGCTTTGTCCCCAACAAACTTCAGAATTTCTTTTTGAAAGCAAGTTTTCTCTAATGATGTTCCCCACACCCCCTTTCTCCTCTGTCCTTGGCAGTGCAGACATGCCTTGGATTAGTTTCTCTTGCTTTGGCTTGCAGTAATTTATAGCTCATTCCAATCTTACAATTTTATTATCTTACTTAGTTCAGGAAGTTCTTCAGTTTCTCCAACCCCATTAAACTTTAATAAACAGACCTCACTAACCAGTTGAGAGAAGACACTACCTTATGCTCCTTACTAGGGTAGTTAAACCAGGCAGGATTTACTTTTCCACATTTTGTGATTAAGTGATCATAACCACCTGTCCCACTTAGAAAGGCAGTCCCCTTTATTTCAACTCCAAAATGTATACACACCCAACATCATTTTGTTATGGCATTAATTTTACTTGCACAAGTGCAAGTGGAAAACCAGCATCAGGGTCAGACACATGGCAAGAACAGCTCAGACAAAAGCACATGCATAGCTGGGGGATGTGTGCATACACACAGATATGATTTATTTATTGTGACTAGTGGATTCTTTCCACATGCTTGTACAGCGTGCAAGGGTCTCAAGCCAACACTGTTTGTTTTGGAGTTGCATGGATTCCAACTGGACCAGCCAGGGGAACAGTTGCACAAGGCACAGATTCTCTGTACATGGTGAGTGTTTCCAAATTCAGTGATGCCCGCAATAATTCTGCAGTAGCCTGCTCTTGAAGGTCTCACCATCTCTATCAACCCCACTAACCACTGCAAATAGAACAGAACCAATACCTATTGCTTTGCGAGGAGGTCTGAGCTGATATCCATTCGTCTCACACCAACCCACTGGAAATATATTCATTGACTCCACACTCACTATACAGTCAGGGACAGGTTTCTTGGAGCCTGTTCAGTTTAGAGAAGCAAAAATTGAAACAACTCATAAAATAAAAAACCTCATTTGATTAATGCTTGCTACATGCTTGCCAGTGAAGCTGCTTTTACTTACAGCATATTTGAAAAACAATATCCATTGTTTATTCATCCCCTTTTATTGACCACATTCTTTCCTGACCTCATTTGCTTCCTCCGAAAGGCTGGAGATGGGTATTTGCCATCCACAGTTTAGCAGAGGTGCACAGTGCATAGTAAGCACATGCTGATGTACTTCCAATCAAGAAATGGGATTATAATGGAGAACGGCTGACATAGGCCTATTCTATCTTAATGAAGAATCTCTCTACAAGTTTTCTTCCTAGGTCTGGTCAAACCTTGCTCAGAATGCAAGTCACTCATTTGTAGAAATGTTACAAGGTCCTGGCTTTCTAAAAGACGCTGATCAGCACTTTGCACAGCGTGCTAGCCTAGCACTGACACACTGCAACGCACAAATGCAATTTTTGCCTGGCTTAAATAAGCACTGCCATCCAAGGCTAACTGGGAAAAAGACAATGCAAATGGGTTTTTGCTGTGTTTTCATTGAGGAAACGGTGATTTGCTGCCCATATTCAGCAGGCAGTGAGTTTGCTCCCGATACTCCTCAGGCTTGATGATGGTACTACAGAAGAATCAATGCAAGTGCTACTCTCCTCCCCCACACCAGGCTTACCCTCCAGCCGAAGCCAGAGGTAGGAATCTTTCAACTTGGTGACTGTAGCAATGCAAACTTCTTCAGGATCAACTGGGTTCACAGCCTCAAGTTTCATATTCTCTTTAAATCCATGGTCAGAAGTTAACTAGGAAAAAGATGGAATACTTCAGTAAAATACCATCTGTCTATTCAGTATATGATATGAATAGCCATGGACAGAAGCTACTCATAAAAGCCTCAGTGTTTGAGTAACATAGAAAGATACTCATGCAGTCAGAGAAGATTTCAGATAATTAGCACACTGAATACAAGTAAGATATACTACGAACTACAAACAATTTAAGTTCAAAAAGGCTCTACAGACAGACCTAGAAAAGAACATGTTTGTACTCACAAACAAGGATGCTGAGGCTCACTGAAAGGACTGAGTGCATTCTAAGCAACCAGCAATTCTCTGCTGCTTGCTAACTAAGTGATAAGTCTGACAAATAGTCTGACCTGGCTCTCTATTCTATTATTTTAGCTTGTAAATCCATTTTACATATGCAAATAACATTCCTGCCTTATCCAAGTGAGGTCTGGCAGACACCAAAGGAAGCTTTCCTTTCATTTTAAATTTTTTGGATACGTAGGATTTCACTTTATTCACCAATTTAGTCCCCATTTGCAATTTAGTCCCCATTCATGGAAAAATTCCTAAAACATAAGAATGGGTATTTATCCAGGTCTGAAGCGCCTGAATTAAAGATAAGAAGTAACAGCCAGACAGAGGCCTTTTCCTCCCAGAGCCACTCCGCAACACAATTACAAGATCAATATATTACGAGTTCTGGAACTAGCCTGCAGTGACCAACTCTTCTCAGAAAAAGGATAATAAATTCAATGACCTGCTCTAAGAGGCCACAGCTTACAAGACAGAACAAGGGCAACAGGAATTCATAGCCAGCAACACCCTCTCAAACAATGGTAATTATTAATTTTCATTTCTTCCCCTAAGCACTGCAATTGCCCAAGTATTGTAAATGGAATTGGAAGGCAGGTGTTGACAGTGCCCTTTTCTCCTTGACAAGGTATTCTGCTTTGGGAGACAGCAATACTGTCATTGAACCAACAAAAGCCCAAAATCGAGCAATTACTCCAGGCACTGATTAATGCAAAATGATTATTTGGTACTAATTTAAGATGAATTGGTATTGATTAATACAATGGAATGCATTTTTCAAGCTGAAAGGAAGGAAGATTGAAAGAGTACACTAAGTAAATGAAAACAAGGTCTATTAAAAGGCTGTGTTTCCACAATTACAGAAGTGCAGAGGATTTATACTGTTTTATGGCTATTCCACGGACTCTTACACATCTCAATTTTACAAAACACTGATTTCTTTTTGATCTACTTTATCACAACTGAAGCATTTGGTCCACCACTCACTTATCTAGGAAGCTGACATGCACCTACTACTGTTCACATACATCTGCACTTTTTTTACTCTTCCATTTCCTCAGTTATCACAGGAACTTCAAGGAAAAAACATGCAAAAGGTTCTTGTCCCTGGAATCAAGAATGTCATGCACTTAAGAGAGATTTTTCCGCAAGAGAACCTTACCGAGGGGAAGCAGCTCTGGGGAGCTGCCTCAGCACCACACTGTTTGAGGTAGTCTGCCCAGTCGAAGTCCTGCCCAGGATAACCTAGGTGAAGAAAAAGCGAAAGGGTTAGTTTAACAGCATGAGAACAAATGACCCATTTCAAGCTGACATGAAGTATAGCTCACTGAAATCTGCTTGGGTCACTCAAGTTTCTTAGCTGACTAGGGTTTCACTGAGCCAGCTGAGGTCGGCCCATGGCATGGTTCTCATGTATTTGAGATATCCTCTTTATTCCCACTGCAGAGGGGCTTCTGGGCACTGCCCCACCTTGATTCCCATTTTTGACTTGAAACGGTGTCAAACTAAAAGTGACTTCACGGAGAGCAACCTGAAGTGTGAAACTAGCACATCTGCTAAGCAGACAAGGGCAGCAATCGAAACATGGGGAAGTGTTTACAACTTTTCCATGGGGCACCGATGACATTCTGGCAAAGTTTTTGCAAGATTACTTCCTTCATGTCCTGTCAGCTCTGGAACTTTTAAAATTTTTTTTTAAAATAGAGCACCCAAAATGTGCCCAATACCAATGCATTACTCTCTCAAACACACCAAGTCATCAAAGAGAGCAGTTAGCTGTCCTAAAAGGCTCGTTGAGTTTGCAAACAGCTGTAAATCCGCATACATGTGTGAGGGGAAGAGTCTTAACAGGGAGTCCATCACGAGACAGAGCGTCTCTCCAAGAAAAACAAATTAAATTCTATTTAGACAAAATACTTCACTCCCTTGTGAACTAATAGAAAGCAAATAACTGAAGGGAACAGGGTGCAGGAGTGTGCTGCCACGATAGTTAGAGGGTGGCAGGATGTTATCAAGGAGACAATGGCAGCAGTTATTCCAGTAGTACCTTGGAAGCACTCTCCTACAAGAGATGCCTGTGGCAAGGGTTTAAGAAATCAAACATATTTTTAACACTAATCTAAGAATATAGTATTAACATGACAATCTAAAACCATTAAGCTCAACTACCCCTCAGGGAGGGCCTAACCAGAGAAGGACCTATTTATTGTTCTCAGTTTTATCAGTGCCAGCAGGACTCTTGAGACATTTCAGAATGCCCACCACTTCTGGGGCACCTACCAGAAGAGAAGCTTGAAATCTCTGTCAGCTCCAGACACATGCCTAGAAAGTGAGATTTCACCTTTCACATGCAAAATTCTAGATAATGCTTGGTCAAATAAAGCCACTTTTTGTACCTTAGCCAAGGAAAGGCAAGAGACAAACATCCTATGCTCTCCGCTCCTCACGAGCAGCTAAAACAAAACATCCCAAACTCTGTGGCAGTGAATGAGTATTGAGTCCCTGCTTTTACAATACCATTGACATTTCCATTTTGAGAAAATGCATAAATATTTCAGTAGCTAAGGATTGCTCCCCAATTCCCTTATGTCCTGAAGCAACGCTTCAGCAATCTGCTACCTTGCCTGAGAGGTCCTTGGAAAAAATACTTCATTACCTTCTAAGTGATAAGATGTTCTAAAAATATTATAAGACATTAGATAACAATGTTCCATTTTGATCAGAAGCAAAAATCCAATGCAAAGACTACGGGCTTCTGATATCATGTTAATTAATGCTGAAATCAACGCTGCCTTCAGCCCTGGAACACATTCTCCATTTGTTCAAGCGTTCAGGTTTTTATGCATGACCTGCATCCCCAGCCACTGTCATCTTCTCAAATCCAGGCACGTACCCAGGAAACTTCAGTTTCACTGACTCAAAGATCCTGTTTCTCAAAATCTGACCTTTCTTCTTCTTTCCTTGTGCCACTACATGTAATTCTTTTGCAAAAGTGTTGTCCTAAACATAGCACTCTGGGGACTGGCAATCGACTTCCTTCCAAGAGGAGTGAGCATGAGAAGCCTGCACAAACATACCTGGTGGGGCACTGAGATGCAAGCCGTTCTTCAGACTCCATTGCACGGGGAAAATACCAGCACTGTTGACGTGACAAATGTAAGACTGGCTGGTTGTAAGCTCTGGTCTCAAGTCATCAATTTCTATCATGAAATATTTTTCATTGAATACCTGTAGTTAGCCAAAAGAGAACCATGTGGTCTGGTAAGTAGCAGTTCTGATCTACTGCTCCTTCTCCCACATTTGAATAAATTTATTAAACAGCAATACTGCATGATGGAAACCTTTACCTTAAAATACTGTCAGGGTAAAAAATAAAAAAATAATTGAAAGAATCTATGGGATTCATAAACGAGCAGAGTCCTCTGCATTATCTGCAAACTTAACAAAAATAAGTAATAATAAAAGACAATGTAAAAGCACTTAAAAAGTAAGGTGATCAAGTCCTATATAAAATTTTCTTATGAAAAAATGCAGAGAAATTGGAGTTTGCAGTCTTATTACTATTCTGTAATAACAAAACTGCTTATTTCAACAAGGCTGAACTGTGTCCTAGGATGGACTGTCACAAGTAAAACCTGAAGTACCTATGAGCAGGACAAGAAAATATGAAGAAAAGTGAACGATTTTGCTTTGCTTGGACCTTTTTAGTAATAAGCGAGCATCTTATTTGAAGAAACTGTATGTTACAGTTTAAAAGAGAGAGATCACCAAAACGTAAAATATCCTATTGAGAGACTACCTGTCCTAAAGAAAAAGTAACGGTTCCCGGAAAATACACAAAAATAGATTTTAAAATATGCCCTAGTTTTATGTTGCACAGCAACTTTTTGTTTTATTACATCAAAGCAGGTCTCTTCAGAGCCTTTCACCTGTTTACCAAAACAGGAAGACAGAAGTAGCTCAAAACCTGATTATGTTGAGGAGTTTTCATTTCAACTTTTAAATCCATGTATGGGCCCTTCTTTGAAAACCAGGCTACTTAAACATCAGAGCTTGTACATAGCAACAACATCAACTTTCACAACAACAAAACCTCAAGATCTGTCTTCAAGTGGATACTCAGATTATGAAGGATTATATCTAATTATAAAATCTGGGTTTGACAATTTCAGACATTTGATCTTTTGAGCTTGTATCTTTATGGAACTTTTCCCTCACGTTCAAATCCAATGTCTTCACCATCAGCAGTTAAGTTTTTTTTTTCTCCTGGCAACCTGTCCCCTAAGGGAGACACACAAAAGACTTATTTGAAAGCTAGTTCCAAGATTTTATGATAATCAACTAACTAAATTTCCTGAGCATTTAAGAAGACCAGTTGCAGTTGAATGGAATCTCAACAGGACAAGTTAAAGAACCCTGGTACCTTGCAAACTGTAGCAGGAGAGATTACAAAAGGAGCCATTGGGTCCACAGCTTCTAACTTCATGCCTTCAGAGAACGAATGCACTCCAATCACAGGCTTATCCTGAAAAACAAAGTATCACAGTGATTACCTGCCTTTTTCCATCAAAAAGATGTACATTACATAATTCAACTGAAGAGGATAACTTGGGTTTTTATTAGTTCATTCTAACAAATAAAAATGCCGGAGTACCAGCAACCTCTCTATAAAGAAGAGAAAAGGCCAACTATGCCCTCCCAGACTGACAGTTTCCTCTGAGTTTTAGGAAATTGAGTCCCGAAGATTTACTCCTCTGATATTCTCCACACAGAAGAAAGATTTTACAATACGGGGTGGTCTGGTAAGTCAGCAGAAATTTTTTTTCCCTCTAACTTTTAGCACTCATCATGAGCTATAAGAGAACTATAAAAGTCTTCATTTTCAGCCTAACAAAAACCTGCAAAACAGGGTTCTTTCTCCAGAATTATGTATATCCTGCTCTGATTATGACCCAATACATTCAGGAGCAACAATATCTCCTATTCTATTCTGCTTACAGGTGTAAATGAAGCTAAGAAAAATGAACTAAGAAGTTGAAGGACTAAATTTACATTCCTACTTCTCAAAATGTGTCAATTTTTTAAAATAAATTTAATTAACGTATACTTAAATTCAGACTCATTAGTAAATTTTGCTAACACTCGGGATATAGCAGGACACCTTATACAGCATGTGTGACCTTATCAGGTTACAGATTAGGTGTTACACATGTTAAACTTCTCAATGTACTCACACAATTAGAGAGACTACACTCTGCTAGAAGGACAGTAATCTGCAAGACCAGCCAGTGAACAACCAGAGATGCCATTATAAAGGATCAGAACCAGGGATTTTTCCCAGTATGACCAGTAATGGCTCACATACTTGTGATGAGTGCCTTGTCTAACTTAACAAGAATTGTATCATAGTACGACTTTTTAAAATAGAAAGAAAAAAAAAAGAAAAACCAAAACAAAACAGCCTAAGACATTTCAGTAATAGTAACAGGACTGACTTCCCTTAATCATTTCTTAGGAATATAGCATTCTCATGATATCATCCACAGCATTAAACTACACATACTGTGTCTTTACCTTAAAGAGATCTGTAGGAACTGATGACTCCTCTTCCTCCTCTTTTACCTTCTTCAGGATCTCTTGCCAATCTGCTTCGCTCTTCAAGGACCTAATGGCTTGAGTAAAAAGAAGTGAAAACAGTCAATGAAATAATCTTCTTTCTTCTTTTCCCTCAAAAAACACAGTTTGATTTGTGCTCCTCCATGTGCTAAATTCACATCTGTTCAGAAACTATGCAAATACCTTCCTTCTTAAAAACTTACTGTTTTCCTGGACATTTGGATGTGCTACAAAAAGAGACTGAAGTCAAGCAGCAGTATCAACCATATGCTGCCCAGTCTATTTTTTCTGAGAAAATGGAAGTCACATCAACACCCAGGAAAACTTCTGAAGAAATGTATGACCACAAAACAATCCTACCTGGATAACGCTAGTCTGTTTTACGCTTAAATAAGCAGAAAGCTCAATATATGTTCCACAATTCTGTCCCAGTTGCATCAGTTACTCTTTTAGCATCTGTAATTGCTGACCATACACCTCTCTAACAAAGAGGAACTACTTGTACCATCACACACAAAGGATTCCTGAAGCCTGTGAGCATATCAAAGGCTCTTATGCAGACATAAAAACAAGTCTAGTAGCTAACTAATATTTTTCAAAAGACATTATGCACTTAAGTAGCACTATGGAATCCACCTCTCTCAGTTCTGTCAGTGATTTGATGTCTCCCTGCTCACAACCCTGATTTCAGCAGAGATTGCTCCAGCACTACCAAAGGCAGCATGCTCAGTCACTTCAGTGGAAATTGTTTTGTTTTCCTCCGCATGATTTCTTGCTGTAAGAGGAAAACATTAAAAAAAAAGCCCAACAAAAACAACTGTTCTGAACAACCTGAACTTTCACAAATAATATCACAGGGTGTGCCAGAAACTTAGATTTATACCTGCCTTTGCAGAAATGCTTTAGGGTAAATGCTCAACGTTTTCCAGCTTAAATCCAAGGCTTCCCCTCACCAGGAAACATGTTACATCACTGCTCAGCTCATAAGCATCCCATTTGTGTTTCAGCCTTTTGATGCCCTGCTTCTTTGGTGACCCACCCTGACATGCACATGCCTGAAAAACATGGTAATCTCTCCCACCCCTCTGTCTCCACTTCCACGCACTCATTCCCCGTGTACCCATTTTTAAGGACATTTTCGCATCCATGTAATACCTCTTTAGACAAGGCTTTAACGAGCCCTGTGGACTTGGGGTCCCAGCTGCAAAAGCTCCTGTTGAGCAGTGCTTCAAAACCAGATGATTTTCCTCCCACCCAGGATACAAACCTACCAAAAATAACCATGAAGGCATTCCCTTCCTCAGCTCCTCCCTTTCCACAAACAGGTGGAAAGTTTTGACAGCCAAAACCATTTAGCAACTTGCGAATGAGTGGGTGAAAAGTCTCGTAGGACTATTTACTGGTATTTTCACTTCCATTTCATTAGGTACAATATTTGTCAGATCAGACACTGACCATATGCATCCAGAAGGCACATTTAGAGCACCAAAGCAGCAGCAGTGTTCTCTAGCCACTGATCACCGTATAAAAGAGAAAGGTTTTGAGGTACCTAAAGGTGGCTGCAGGCTGTATCCATGTTGAGCTGCCCACCCCACTTGATGAAGGAAAGGGTCCAAGTAGAAGATCCATTGGTCAAATTTGTCACAATCCTCCAGCCCTTCGTATCGCAATTTAAGTCTCCCACCAACATTGTCTACCACGTTGACTATCCAGGCTTCCAGGGAATCCCGGATGTTTTGCAGTTCTAGTCGGGAGCCTGGTGCAATGAGATCCAAAGGATTTTTCCCTCTATGAAGCTACAAAAAGAACACAAATTATTCTGTACAACAGACCAAAACAAATCCCATACTTCCACTTCTTTTTACACATTCTTTTTCCATAAATGAAGTATGACTACAGAAGTAAAGAAATACAGGTCCCTTACTAACACAGAACAACAGAAATGACAATGTTTAGAATCACTGGTGCTTGCAGCAGAGCTTCTGCACTGCCTGTATTACAGTCATGTTTCAGTCCTCATCATCACTTTCAGAAGCATTATCACTTATATATTCAAGGTTTGAAGGAAACATGAATAATCTTTTTCTAAAACTGAGTCATCTAGCATATAAAGATGACTAGACAGAAAAGATACAAAGATAAAAATGTTAGCTGTAAAGAAGACATCAACAGCATTTTTTTTTTAAAAATTAAGTTCTGTACCGTACAACCAGACACTGATATGAGGTGCAAATATTGTTTTAAGTGCAGAGGAGGGGATAAAAACTTGGTTCTTCACTAGCAAAGCTGCAAGATTTAAGTGAAACAATAACCTGCCCATTAGCAACAAAACAAAAAAAATTAGTGAAAGGAGTATTTTGAGAAAGGAGACAACAGGAAAGCTAGATAAATAAAGGATTATTTCCTTAATGCTGTATGAAGGAGGAGCAGAACAGGAGGAAGACTGAAACCTAAGGGAGCCGGAAAAAGGTCTTCTGATAGTATTAATGAACAGCCCAAACCTGCAGTGACAGATACGTTTCAGGACAACACTATCAGAATTAAATAAATTCCTGTAAACAGGAAACCCTAGAGAATGAAACTTTAAGGTCAGCAGCATACTGCAATGCTCCCTAAACTTAAAAAAGGAATTGAACTGACAATCTGAATAGGGATTCCCTTAATAACAAAGGGGAAAACCAATCTAACAAAATCCCAGATGCAGCACACTTACCCCCTCCAGCAGGTTAGCAGGAGCACTGCATGCTCCTTTCAGCACCCGCTGCAGGAATTCCTCCTGGTCAGGTATCTTGTCCTTGATACCTAAGTGAAGAGTGAAGAAGACAGACTGTGATTCCTCCTGCCAGATAAAGATCATTCAGACAACAAGACAGACTCTTGCACTGCCTAATTCTCAAGAATCTGCCACACACTCACCAGTAATACCTTAAAAAAAGAAAAAAAACCCAACAAAATCTTTAAAGGAAATGACAAAGCAGTAGAATTTGGTGGGTGATGATTAAGATAACCACAAGCCTCTGTAAAAATCAGTATAATTCTGAAATTAAGCTAACTCCTCTCTGGTGAGAGAGCAACCTCCTACTGTAAGTCACAGGATTTCAGAAGAACAGTAGACAACTTCAACTTGTCATCACAGCAACACCACCAGCGTGTAACAGCAATTATGGAGACTACCTGCTGAGCTTACAAAGGACAAAAGCATACTTTTGTATTACTCCCCACTTCTGCATATGGAGCCAATACCTTCAGGCACTTTGAGAATCTTCCTGTTCTGCTCGCACCAGCCGATGGGGTGTAAATCAGCCGTCATGATATCACACCAGAAGTCAGCCTTGCGGTCTTCCCCATAACCATCGTAGCGCAACAGGAGCAGCTGCCCACAGGTAGTAATGATGGTGGCTACCCAGTAGGTGTTTTGGTCAGACTTTACAGCAACTTCTAGCTTCATACCAGGGGCAAAACCATTCTGCAAACTTGTATCCACCTGAAGAGGAAGAAGATCATCACATTTGAGCACCTCCCAGAAACTTCATGGAACAACAGGGGAACCGTTTAGACGTGTTCCTTAGCAAAAAACCTCAGGCCAAATGCTGTCCAGTCTCTTCAGAGAAACAACTTCATCACGTTACGTGACCCAAATGGGAATGTACACAGTGTCATCATTAATGACATCTCCTTTGCATTTCAGAGTATCTTTTCCACCTTAAATCAGTATCTTGCAATTAATCTTCCTGCCTGGGACAATACCTCACCCACCACTGACAAGCTTTCCAGCTCACAGCTGGGTTGGTCAAGCTAGGCAAAACTAGGGGTCAAACTTGGCAACACAAATTTGACTTTTTGTGTTAAACTATGCCTTTCTACCTCTTTGGATAAAGACACTGTTTAAAGTGCACACACGTGCTTTAGATAACGATACCACTGTCTCTTCCACCATGCTCATTTAAGAAGGCATGAACCCGCACAAATTGGAGAATAAGGAATTTTAATGCCTCTACCCTTAATAATTCTGCATGTAACATTCTTACATAAATTGCATAGAACATAAGCAGCACGTGTTCTTCAGCGAACTCAAGCTTTGACAACAATAAAGCACCCAATACCATGTGCTGTGTGTGTGTTGTGTGCAGGTGAGGAACCTGACTGCACAGAACTCAGATACTGAAGCGTAAACATAAAAAGAGAAAGCAAAACATTAGGTTTCTCATATCCCTAACTTCTCCCAGCTCAAACACTCCCGAAAAAGCAGAAGGACCCTGCTCTGCTCTCACTACAGTATGTTTCTGAGATACGCTTAATTCCATGGCCTCAGTCTTAATTAAAAATCTCACACGTCGATCCCCTGTTCTCAGCTGAACGTAACTGGTGTTTTGTCTCTGAAGTGGTCCCAAGTTCCATTTCACCTTTGAATCAACTGCAAGAAAGGCTTTCAGAACAATGCAGACACAGTAGATATTTTCTGGGTTATTTATTACCAGTTCTGCACCGACGGTTCAGTAACTGCCACAGCTATTATAGTCTCATCAGCCAGCACATACTGCTTTGCTAAAAATAAAACCAAGAGAACGACATCAGAAAGAAAAGCATATGCCTCTGGTAACTGTTCACATCCTTTAGGTTAATGCCCTCCACTTAAGAGAAAATTCTTCTTAAGAACAAAATCAGCAGGACCCAATACCTGCGGATGTTTTGAAGTGATATTACCGAAGTAATCTCTTTAAAAAGATAGCTGCTTTGCTGACGAGATATTACTAAAGTCTTCATACTCTGATTTTTGGAAGAAAAGGCATGAGCTTGACACACTCAGAAATCTCTGCAGCGCTCTCTGTGCTCAAACTCTCAGCAAAGCCTCCTGGCAGAGAGGCTGCATCCATCGAAACCAGCCGCACCAGCCGGAGCTTTCCCTGAAGTCAGGTGCGTTTTTCAAACACTGTCGTTTATGTTCCCCGCTGGATACAGCAGAGCCCAAGAAGTTAGCACCCTCTCCTGGCAGCTGGGCAGGACGACACCACCAAGCAGTTCCAAGGTTTCTCTAGGCTGGCTCACCCAGCAGGCTGGCTCGCAGGAGGTGATGCGGACGAGCTCCAAGAGTATTTTCCTTGGGGCAGTGGGTCTGACAGAGCGGCAGCCTCCTGCTGCACATATGGCAAGCTGAGATGGGCATGAGCGGCTAGTGACAGCGCTGCTCGGGCAGCTCCCACCCCCAGACCCTCCTTCCCACCCAGTACTATCCCCTCACTGTGTGCCGTGTCGCAGCTCAGACCTGGGGATCTGCCTCAGCTCAGGAGCAGGAACAGACAACAAGGATTGAGAGCATGCAAGAACATGTGTTCAGATGATGTTGAACACTAGCTTATTTTTAGTATTTTTTTTTCACACACACATAAGTTGCAGAAAAGAATTAAAAAAAAAGAGCATTCAACAGTTCTAGAGAAAGTGTATTTAGACAGGGTGGGACGACAGCACTGGCATCCAGTGTAACACCAGGTTTTTGGTAAGCTCTTTCTCCTGCTAGATTGTAGGCAAAACAGTCACTTTGATCTCAAGATTTTTAGTTTTTAAAATGCAAACAAACTAAACATTAATTTAGAAAGTTAATTTGAGAAAGTACCTTACATTTTCCAATGCATCTTGCTCATAGTAAGAGCAAAACTTTCAGAATTAATATAAGCAGACAAATATTAAAAAGTCCTCCCTCCCATCAGCAAGTCTAGTCCCTCGCTAACACAGGCTGTGCAAGCATGGATTACATTTTCTTAACTTGATCATGTTCTCTCCTAGAACATGGGTTAGGTATTTATCACCCACCACTTATAAAGGGAGGCTGGTCACAGTCTCACTACTCCAATATTTAAAAAGAATCAAACAAAAACCTTAAACTTCCACCTAAAATTTATTTCTATTAATCAATTAATGTATTTATACATGTCCACTTGCTCTTGTGCTCATATTATTCTTCAGCTTAGTTTGTTCCCCTCTGTTTTTTCAAGACTAGAAAAGCAGTTCCCTCTTAGCTCTCCTGATGGTAGATTATAAAAACAAATCATTCTTCAAGTCAAGCAACTAGCGCTGCACAGATTCCAGCTGGAGGAACCACCAGTCGCTGGCACAGAGACATGGGTGCCTGTAGGCTCTCCGCTGAAAATCTCTCACCTGATGTATCTTGGAATCACGCGAACATTCTTTCAGGGCTTCATAACACAGGCTGTCACTGTCCACTGGGAGGCACTGAGGCTCTCCTCCTCTACCTTTTCCAACCTTCTAACCGACAGCAGAAATCCTCAGCATGTGCCCTTGGACTATTGGATTTCTATTAGCAGCAAGATCTAGGTGATGTGACACGGCTGTAAATATGCTCCTCTCTCTGCTTGTCAATTCTGTGTCAGCATTTACTTTCAAGAAGTTTATGCCAAGTTTATTACGGAGAACATCAAACTTGGCCTCCAGACAAATCCTAAGGGAACTCTGCTAGCAAACGCGTGGCGCTTCCCCTTCAGAACACACAGGCATCTATTTTCATGCTCATTCCTCACTCCCGTGCAGCGCTGCCGGCATCCCAAGCCCCCAGGCTGCCCCCGTGCCAGGGTGCCAGCCGGGATCACCCCGCACAGTTCCGTGGCTGCGGCACGCCGGAGGCACCCAGCGCGGAGGAGGGGGACTGGCAGCATCACCAATGCACTCCCCACCAATGCTACTCGCACCAGCAGTACTGCACCTTGTTCTACACACCTAGGGAATAATAGCAATAAAAATACGTGGATTTTTTTTAAATTTAATTTTATTTTTACTGATGGTGGCCACGGCAATCAGACCTCTTGTTTGACACAACTGAGTTGGCAGAGTGCAGCGCAGCGGTAACAAAGTAATTCAAAGCGCGTCTCCTGCCAATTAACAAAATATAGCTGCAATGTCAATTCAGTTGGCAAAAACTGTAAAGCTGGCATTACAATTAGTTTGTATAATGTCTGAGATATGATAGCAAGTTTCTTTAACAAAGATCACATAAGGTAAACCACACCAGAGGAGCAGACAGACCGCTCCTCGCACCACTGCAAAACGCCACTGCTCTGATTCCATACTGCTCCCTCCACGCGGGCTGCACGGACATCACCGCTCTGAGGAAGCTTGCTCTTGCTAGAGCCTTAGCACGCTAAGGAAAAGAAAGCAAGCACAGGCCTCTCCCCTTCAGAAATGAGACACCTGAACGTCCATTTTGAACAAAAGCACGCAACTACATCCCACTGTACGGAAGAGCCTTTGCAAAGTCTACATTTACCGTACATCTTTACTACTAACACAACTGCCATATTTTAATAGATTCTTAGAAGTTTTGCACTTCTGGTGGTTACCTTTAGACTCAAAATGCTTTGTGATCCTTCTGTGAACAGACCTCAGTTTGTCTTCCTGAAGTGTACAAAGTGGTGACACTGGACCTGAAAGCCTGAGCACCACAGATTGCTTTCCAAGCAATGTGCCACACACAAGTCATTGCCCTCACTGTCACGGTAAAAGACCCACAGCAGTCTTTGAAAGACTATACAACAGTGACTTTATTAAAGAGTTGGATAAGGATACAGGCTGGCAGCCTGGAAGGTGTTTCAACTGTTGGAAGAGATCCAAGAGGTTTGGAAACCAGTTCTATACAGCTCATCTTCACTGACGACCCAGTACCAGAAGCCAGACTTCACATTCAGATCTCACCCAACGGGACACGATTTTACCAACAAACATTTGATTAAAGATGTCCAAGGGCAAAAACAAGAGCTTATCAAGACTTCATCTTATCCATTAGGATAATTGTCGAGCACAGCCTTAATCAGTTTTCTAACTGCTACAGTCAAGTGTTTGGCAGAGCTATTATTTTCTCCTTGGTCTCCTTGAGAACCACCATTAAAACCTTCATTGAGAGCATATTTGAATTCTGCTGTTCAAGAAGTATGCCACCAGCTTTCTAAAGCTAGCTCCTCCATAGCCATTGTTCAGTAGCAATCACCAAAATTGAAGAGCTACTGGCCAGTTTGGGCTTTAAGAAAAAAAATAGGAGCCCCTTAACTTTCAGCACATGGGGATGGGATTACCCTATGCCATGTACAGAGGGGAAAAATCAATAACAAAAAGGTGAAATTCCTCATTTCTCATTACTGTAAGAAACAGGATTCCATTTAGTCTTCCAGATTTGAGAGCATCAACTCATTCAAAGAAACCCTAAACATTCAGTGTATCAAAAAACCAATGTATGAGATGGTAAGAAAACACACGGTCGGTCCCTTACTCACATGTTTAAAAGATCCATGGGGGGCTGCAGTTGCTCCTGTGTCTTCTAGATACTCATCCCAATTGAATTCCATTTCTTCCACACTGGAACCAGCGTCTGGAAGAGAAGCCAAGCGCCTATTTAGCAACCTGTTGCCTTAAGTTTTAGGCTACTAAAACTAACTACAGCAAAACCCACTTCAATTCCAAATGATTGACTATACAAGTGTAGACTGAACTTCAGTTATGCATTTCAACATACAGACACTGTCTAGCTTTTCTCTGTATGTAAAGGGTGCTGTAAGTTGGATTTGGTCTGAAAAATAAGTGAGATCCTGAGGATTTTGTTTAAGCACAAATTGTTTATAATTTTCATGAGGAGAACACAGTCAGAAGAGTTCTGTATTCCTATCAACAAATATAAGAGACTTAAAACTCTGGGCACCCTGGACCGTCAGTGTATTAAATTAAAAAGCATCCAGGAAACGGCAGTACTGATAGTAAGAGGTTTGAAAGGAAAAAGAAAATTGAAATGTGATTCCCCTCTTTTTTAAGTTAGATAGTATTTATTTAGATGTTAAAAAACACCACAAGCATTGAGAAGGATTCAGGGTAGTTCCAAGGAAAACAGCTTAAGACTCAACTGAAATCAGGAACGCCCAAATTAGTCACTTAAAAAAAGACAGGTCATAAGGTGTAACAGTTTCTTTAGACCAAAGAAACCTCACTTCTAGATGCATTTAAAGCAAATATGTGCTAAAACCACTCAAGCCACAGTTCAAAACTCACTCAGGCTGTTAGGGAAGCAATCGGCTGTAGTGAGCCACACCACGAATTAATCACATTTTTTATGATGACTGTCAAGCCCGTCCCCCAGCCCTGGTCTCCCCCTCGCTTCTCGGCTCGCTTCCCTGCTCCCCTCCTATTCCCGTTTTCTCCAATGTGTAACCCGCTCTGCTAGAAGACACGACAGCCAGCACCGGCTGGATTTCAGGTCCCTGTTCAGTTCAGCACGCAGCCACATTCCACCTCTCCTGCAGGCACAGCTGGGATGACCAGGGAGGGTCCCACCTCGCGTTCGCGGCATTTTTAACCTCTGCACACAAACAACTGCAGGCTCGGCAGTGAAAGGGATAGCTGTGATATGACATAACAGGAAAGCTTTTCATTTTCACTTTTAGACCGATTCTATCATCCACACCACAGTTATCTTTGTGAATGAACACCAGAGATTTTCATCTCTCAGTACCAGCAAACCCGATACCTTGTTTACATTTGAACACAGAGAAATCTCTGTGTATCCAAGAGTGGGGAGGGCTCAGCAAAGGCTACGGGACACCAACATTTCCTACACACTCAGCCTTTCTTAGGACAGGTGGTAGCTGCTCTTTCAAGGGGTAGTAGTTTGTATAGGATAGATTACGTGTCCAAAAAATGAATGAAATACTATTACGTGCCCTTATCAGCCCCACGGACATGCTGACAAACTGCCAAGTGTGCTTCACAGCCGTTCTGAGCCCTCCAATAGAGAGGGGCAAATATTTGCCCAGAAGCTTGAGCTACTTTAAATCATCTAAAAAACCTACAAGTCCTGAGTGTAAAGTCCGTTCATTTTCTCTTCAAAACGATTGTCAAGCTTATCTTTGACTTTCCACTGTAATTCTAGGAATTATCATTTCCCCAAATTCAGAAATGCATGCTCAGTCAGCTTTTGTTTGCTGATGACAGTATCTGTCTTAAAGGCAGCTCTTATCTCTCCTGAACGCAATTTCATTTTGTTATTTTTAAACAACCACAGTTGGTTATATTGGCTTTTCATAAGCCTCAGAGCTCAAAAAATTCAGAGCTTTAATATCACCATCACTTTTAGGCAATATTTTTTAACTTACTGAAGAAACTGACCTGGAGAAGGACAAAGTAAGTAATTCTATTAAAAAAAATAAATGAGGGAACAAAGAGGTTAAGGCACAGACCACAGCTGTTTGCAAATTAGGGTGGTGCTGATCAAAGCTTTGGCTGCAAGTCATTCTAAGAAAAATAAATTTCACTGCAAAATGTTAAAACAGATTAAGATTTCTCAACTTATTACAACAGCATTTTACTTTAATACAACAATAAAAATGCTTAAGTTCACAGCTGCACAACCGAAGCGGGAACAAGCACCAGCTCAAACACAACATCTATGGTCAGCTGAAACCAAGAGCGAACTTTGATTTTTCCCCTGCCCAGAGAAAGGCAGCTCACCCTTTCCCACTGGAAAGCACGTGGCTGCTGAACAGCAGCAACAACCCCGCTTTCACCCAACCCCACGTGCTGGTTTTGGCTGAGGTAGAGTTAACTTTCCTCATAGTGGCATTTTTTACATAAAAAGCTCTGCTTGCAATGTCTAATGTGTTCCTGTTTGAAGAGAAACATAAAGCAACGTGACTGCTCTGTGCTTTTTAACAAGTTTAAAAGCCAAGCAGCTCGACCTGGGAATACTACACGGATGGATCGCGAGGCTTTCCAGCCCTGCTCTTTACCCAGCCGCCTGCAGCACCAAGTCTTCAATAACGTGTTATCATCAGATAACTGTCTAAGGGGCAGTTAAGCTCCTTAAATGAGGCACAGGTCACTTAACACACTGAAAGGGTCAATTAGTAACTTATGTTGCCACTTAATTGCTACAAGGAGCTCCTGAGAAAGCCAGTTTGCATGCTGCTGCAGCTCCCCCCTTTTGCCTCTATGGTTAAACCCAGTTCCCAACTGGATCAGAGTTACTCCAGGTCCTTTGTCACTCCACTAATCCCTGTCTCTGCAGCCTCTATGTTTTCATAACTGAAGGAGCCGTTTCCTTCCAGGTCCGCTCTGTGGTGAGAAGGGTTCGTGTTGCTTTGTACCATACAGTGCCCCAATTTCACCAGCACACCCAGAAGACTTCTTGCAACTCATTTTTTCATAGGGGAAAAAAAAATAATCACAAATTCCTGTCCAACACTCATTGCAAGTTTAATACTCTTCCTGCCTTATTTTAGGGAGTTCTGTTGAGTCAGAGGGAATTTTTTTTTTTTTTAACTTTTGCTGTTGTGTTTCTTCATAAGAGTTCATCTCAGCTCGCGCTTACACTTTACTAAGGGTTTACAATTAAATAAGACGAGGTGATTAGCCTTGTCCTTCAGCCACTGAGCACACAGCACAGGGGAGTTCAGGCACGTTCTTTGGTTTCAGAGGCTGACCGCTGACCGCCGAGGGCCGTGCTCTCTATCTGTTGCTTCTGACATGTGGCCCTGCCACAGCATCCCCGGTTATTCATGCACCTTTTTCTGAGCGAGCGTGGAACGTGAAAAGCTCATTGAATAAAGCTCTAAGCAAAAATGCTGCAGGAGGTTCATAGTGAGAGCAGCAAATTAGTTTTCTAATTGTGGCACGCAGTAGCACTACATAAACCATGGGATACCTCGGAAATCAAGTATGTTTTTCAGTATCCGAACGCAGAAGCATTCCAAGAGTGTGGTGAAGGAGCACCTCTCCGGTAAGGCTCACGCTAGCTGGAAATCTCCAAGAGTCAGAATCCAATTGCTTTTCTGGTTTTATTGGCAGGATAGCTGCAGCAGAGCAGGGCCCTGTTTGTATCAAGCCTTTGATCTGCTCTGCTGGTGTTTTCTCCAAGACCCTGTTGCACAGCACCGTCCTGGTGGGTTAGCAGATCCCAGGATACAAGAGGACCGCTTCAGTGAAGCTACATTCCTGAGCGGCCATATGTCTGCATTAAACACCCCGGTGACTCTGAGTTCAAACTACCCAATAAAACCTCACATATTTAAACTAGAAATTAACTTCTACTGTGAGAAAACTTCCAAATTTACATGACAGATTACAACAACCCAAACCATATTTGATGCATTTAACCCTAAAGCACAATTTATTAATGCAATGCTGCATGGGTGTACATATACTTATGCTTCCTCTTTCTCTCCATATCCTTACTTGAATAGAATTGCTACATGTCCTAAATGAATTCAACTTTTTACTACACAGAGACATATTTTTCTATAGCAGACAAGATGGTTGAGCCGCACACTGGCTCAGTGGCAAAGCACAACTTTGGGAAAGGTGGGGAAAGAAACGAGACACAATTCTCACCTCTGTGGCCTCACCATACAACTAGATTTTGTCAGCGAAGCTTTCAAACCAAGCTAACAAAAAATTTATCAAGTAAAGTCTGAGAAATGTCCTACAGAGGTTCCGTGGAGAATGCTTATCCACTTTGGAGGTAAGAAAATTGTCTGTAAGAATATCAGAAGTTTCCTGGGTAGGTACATCATTTCCCATTTATCACTACTTCTACTAGCATTATTCTGAACACTAACTCTCTTCCTTTCTGAATTTTACATGATTTATGTCCCAGTGCTCTCTGATACATGCAGGAAGAGAAAGAATACTGAATTGTACCATTCGGACACAAGAAGGTAGTGAAATACTAAGGACATAAGCCCTTAAAAATACCCTCAATGGAAACAGTCTACACCACACTGTTTTGGTCTCTGGATTTGAGTTAAATTCTCCCTGCAAATAATTTTCATGTATCTTTGATGTGATTTAGTTGAAGACTGTTGTCATATTGGGTGTTTAAGTACATCACATTGAAGTCTGCAAGACCTTCAATTAAGGCTAACCTAAAGGTTTCTCACCCTGAAAATTAGATACATTTCAGTATGATTTTAATAACAGTTAATCTTTTCCATCTCTACCAGCTGCAAGACCATGAATAAATAAAGACAGGTTGGAATTTCAGCAGCTGAGAAAGACTGTGACAAGAATGAAAGTTGTCTTTTCCCCTTGTAGTGCAGGGGAGCATCACAACCAACAACCTTGACCACTGTCTGGGTTCTTGCAGGCAGAGAGCCAGTATAAAAAAAACCGAAAAGACAGAGGGGAATCTCCAAAAACCACTAAAAATCATCAAGTGCAAAAAATGACACCGGTCAAAGAATATTAAGGGAATGTTCCAATAGCAATTGGGAATGGTCTAACTCAAAGCACTACAGGAAACAATGCTAGAGGGCACAACAGATCTATTGTGCTTATGCCTACACGTGTAGCATTTGCTGGAAACTATCTTTGAACTCAGCAAGTAAAGCTCTCTTCAGTTATTGTTTGCTTTTCATAGCTGTACTCAAAAAAGCACCAAAATGGATGCTCAGGAAAACAGCTGTTGAGTAATTCCAAGATAATATCAAACCCTTCCTAGAAACTCCAAAAGCACATAGAGAGGACTGTGTGACCTATGATACTTTTTGAGGAAGATGGAAAAAATTTCAGTAAAGGTTTTAGTACAGAGGGATGTGCTACCAGACTGTGAACACCCCATTGCTGACCATGTACACATGTCCTTACTGTTCCTCTCAGCTGCTCAAAGCCTGTTCTCTTTCTTACACTACGTGACAGATGTTAGCAGTTCCCACTAGCAGAGGAAACAGTATTTGCATGTGCCTGGAGACATTCTGCCTACTTGTCCATGCTGCTTTTTCTTGCTTATTTGAGGATATAATGTTGACAACAACTTGAGTGTTGGCTATAACTAATAATCAAAAAGCATATTTCAACATCATAAAGCAGATGCTAGCATTCTGCTACAAGCACTGCAGATTAAAATCATGTTTAACATTTCTTCAGTAACACCAACAGCAACTAGACTTCCACAGAGTTACGGTACAAGTACCAAAGTAATACTCAGACAAAATCCTAATCCAATTGTTTACACTGGTAACTACACACTAAAATTTACTTTCTATCAATTGTACCAACACTATAGGTAGGGACTTCCTCAAGGAAAATGAACAAACCATGGCAGGCAAGTCAGAAAAAGGGATGGGCCCTATCTCCGTAAGAGTGTACGACACCAGAACCGTTTCAGAAAGCTGTTAGCATCCCCCACCATCCCAGACTGACACTTTTCTCAGCCTGGTGTTTCAAGGTGAACCAAAAGCTGAGCTGATTTATCATAATATACCACTCTGCAGCAGGTTAGGAGTTGATATCCCAAACCCATCAAAGCAGGCACACCAAGGTATATCAGAAAAACAGGACAGATTACAGTGGCAGCAAATGGCTTCAGTCATCTGACTTTTAAAGCAGCACCACAACCTTGTTGAAATATTAAGAACAAGATGAACATGAGGACAGAACAAAATAATATTAACCACACTGACAGACAAATGCCTTAAAAGAGTAGTGTTAAAGCCACTGAGCTTTTTATAAGCCCAGCTCATACTGATACTACAAAGAGGTAGTAGCTTCTTAAATACCCAGTTACCAAGGTGGGTGAGATTTCGTTCTCCTTTAAGCCAACGATACACCTTGCTTTTGAAATAGAGCAAAACCAAACATAAGCCCAATAGTCAGAATCTAACCCACAGTCATTGACACCTGAGTTTCTCCCTGTACACAATACACAGCATCAGACACATGCTCTGTTCACTGTGTTTATCTGTGTTCCATCTCACTTGCCAAGTTTTTTGAGAACCACTAGCCATGGATCTCAGCCAGACCATTACCTGCATCATATTGCTGTTCTCCATTCATCTCCACAGCAGCCCTGTGGTGAATTCGAGCCGCCAGAAGCAGGGGAATCCGATGCTGTCACAGCTTGGTGATCATGAGTTGTCTCCCACCTTCAATCCTACTGGCAGCAAGGACATTCAAGAAGGGATTCTAAAAAAAACCTGAAAGGAACAACTGGTAAGAAAATCTTTATCAGATTTTAACCACTTTAAGATACACCAGAAACATTACTCCAGCAATAAGCCAAAAACCTTAAAGCAAACAAGGTCATCTCACTGTGTTTATGTCTATTGCACACACCATCTGCAGACCAAACTGATTCTAGAAAAAAAAATAAAATCCTTAATCAGTCAATTATAAAGCTGACTTTCAGCATCGCTTCAGCCCCCCAAACAAATCCACCACTCTCAAAAGCTCCTTCAACCCTTCACAAGGCTGAAGAAGCAGGGAACCAAACAAGTCATGGCTTAGAAACAAGACAAAACAGAACCCAGCTCCTTTGTCACCTGGACCAATAAAAATGTCAAGAAAGCCAAACCGATACGAGTAAAGAAAGAGCACAATAAGGCTAACAAAATGTCTGCTCAGGCTGTGGGTGAAGAGGAGAAGAGAGGAGAGGAGAGGAGAGGAGAGGAGAGGAGAGGAGAGGAGAGGAGAAGAGAGGAGAGGAGAGGAGAGGAGAAGAGAAGAGAAGAGAAGAGAAGAGAAGAGAAGAGAAGAGAAGAGAAGAACCCTAGCAGGTTAAGAAAAAAAAAAAAAGAAAAAAGAGAAGGGAGCAGAACTACACTCCTAAACACTTTGTGATGAGAAACTGTAACGTTTGAACCTGTTTCTATGAGCAATTAAATCATTATTTCATTACTAATGGTAGAAACGACGGAAGGGCAGGTCTAAAGCAAGCCTACCAGGCCACTGCACTGGCAATGTACTGAGAGTATTTTTCCTTTACAAAATTCTCCACTAAAGCAAAGTTGTATAGCAAATAAAAGCCTATGTTATATGTTTCTTTATTAAAATATCAAGCTTTAACCAACAAGTTTATACAAATCAATGAGACAGGGCATGAGGGGGCCCAAAAAACAAGATTATTGGCTTAAAAATTATTTTTTTAAAAAGATAATAATTAAATACCCTTTGCATTCTTGAACATTTGGGAAGCACCTGTTTTTTCTTTTTAAGTAAGATACTAGGAATAATGTGGAGGACTGAAAATCAGGTTTTAAAAAACACAGGCTGCACTTCCCACCTAACCATTGTTTGAATAACTATGGTTCAAAAAAAAAAAAAAGGTGAAGCCCTACACATTTGAAAAGTCTTAAATTTATTATTTGAGTTTTGTACACCTATAGGGTCTATGGAGACTACTCAATAATCCTTAGACGGGTCTTGCGGGAGGGTCCTTCTTTTTTTTTTTTTTTTTAAGGTTAGAGAAGCCAACATCTTTTAAGTGGTTTTGTTTTTTTTTCCTACTGCAGCATGGACAAATCCATAAGAAATGTGTGTTGCCCAGCAGATGGAAACATGAAGATCGTACTTAAAAAATCAGGATCACAAATTACAGAGATTTTCCTGCTTTTAAAGGTGCAACAATGACTCCACTTCTGAAGGTATAACTGGACTGGACACACAGTAAGTACAAATGACTAAGTCACTATCCAGCCCTTCTCTCTCTGAAGGAGCATCTTCCATGCCACCACAACTGCCAGCAGACCTTAAGCAGCTTTATGCAGGCTGCAGTTGCATCTGCACTGCCATCCAAATAAGCAGCTTGTGAATTAACAGCTTGTCTGAAAAATTCTAACAAAACGTTTTTTCCTTTGAAAATTAGTCTGTTAAAAATTGAAGTATTTTGAAGAAGTAGGTCTATTACAGGGATGTTTAGGTGGGAGAGCGACTGTGTCTGCCAGCTTGTCAGCCCGGTTCCTCGGTGGTCTCAGAGGGGACAGCGACGGCAGCTCCAGCAGCCCCCGGCAGGAGGAGTGGGCAGGTGTCTGCAGCTGGGACCGGAAAGGGCAGCGTCACTGTCCCTGCCGACAGCAGTATCCTTAGGCTTTGGTGGTCCCCAGGCAGAGCAAGATAATCAGGATGTGCTTCCACCATTTAGATACAAAGAACGTGGAAAATAAAAAATAAAAAAAAAAAAGGACCCCCCCACCTTCCTAAAGTACCGTAACTCCATCATTTTGTGGAGGATTTACATGGTTTAATTGTAAAACGTTGACGTTGAGTATAGCAGGCTGCAAACGACTGTGTCCTGAGCATGTTTGTGGAGCATCCAGGCTTGCCAGCTGGCAATATCCCCCAGGTCAAACCAAACCCAAGTTACACTTCAACTGAAAGTGAGATATCAAAGCAGTACTGCAGACCGAGCTCCAGTCCTTGGCATGAACTGTAGGGAACTGCAGCGCAAAGCACGGAAAAGCCTGGCTGAAATCTCCTGTACACAACACTGGGAGCTTCATTCACACACAAATAAAACAACAAACTTGAACAGAATTAAAGAAACACCCACCAGCAGTGCTCAGTGGGGTAGGAACTTCTCAAGTACAATCAAACACACAGCCAACTTCAAACATTTTTATTACATGTGAGAATAAAAGTTTTTAAGAGTAACAAGAGGTATCACTAAGAGCTCCTATTGAATGTTAGCTTAATGTCACAAAAATCTACCGCGTAGAAGATATTAATAAGATTTTATTCATTACAGCTTCAGGAATGTGTCTGGAAGGGAATTTAGCTGCCAATTCCTGCTATACTGCTTCTACCCTGCTGCTCTCCAGCTCAAAATGACTGTGCTCAGCAGATCCCTGCAAGGTCACACGGTAACTCCCAGTTCAGCTCTGGCTCTGGGTTACTGACAGATGAAGCACAGGTACCAATCTCCATCAACCTCCGTTGGTTCCTTACGTACTTCCTCCACGCGCTCAGGACAAGGCAGAGCAGGGTAAGCTAACGCAACAGTCCCCGTGTCCCCAGCCTGCCCCTTCTGAAGGCTTTCCTCCCGCAGCAGCCTGACGGTCTGAGCTTCCATGTGTTCCACCCTCATGAAGTGATGCTGGAAGGTGATGTCACTGGCAACCTGCACGATGCTTGGCGCACAGCAAAGAACTAACAAACAAAATACTTTTTAACCATTAATCAAAATATTTCTTGGCAATGGCCTATCGTAAGTCTATCAGCTGTCGCGCTGCTAAGCCAAAACAAAGGCAATGCTGTGAAACACGCCGAGTGAAGCACGCAGTCCAGCAAATCTGGGGACACGCCACTGGTTTCTAATAGCGAATCCCTGGCAAAGTACCCCCACAATTTAATTGCAATTAAGATATTTTCAGTTTATGGGATCCAGCTCTCAATTAACTTCTATAACTAAACTAGGTAAGACAAAACTAACTCAACCTTTTTTTGCAACACAGAAATATTTAAGACAACACCCCCTTTGCTGCCAAAATCCCCAAAACCAAACACCAAAGACGCTATTTATTTACAGATGCCAAATACTGGCAGCTCCTATTGAAGTTAATTGATATTCTGCCCAAGTTAAGTTGGGTAGTTGTTCAGGATTTCATAAGCAGCCCTGGTGTTTTATGTACACAAAACTGAGAGTACTCGTAATTAGCACCCACCATGGCTGATGCTCACAGTCTGGCACCCCAAAGATTATCTTCTGATAAGTCTTGAGGGGAGGGGAGCACAAGCGCAGCTGGAACAGAGCTGATCTGGAAATACTTTGGACTCTTCAGTCTCACTTCTGCATTTCAAACCTCCTTTCAGCACATGAAATATTCAGATGTTAGCAACTGGAGGCAGCATTAAAAACAGTTACAGTTCATTAAAGCCAGATGGCTCACTTGAATATGAAAAGAAATCAAACATAAGTTGGATGTTGAATTAAAGTAAATCAGCTGGTGTCTGAGGCTTAATATTATTTTAAAACAAAGGCGCATGAGACAATGGGGACAGGAGACATCCCTATGGACTCAGGAGAAGCTACAGAAAGGATCAGGTTTCACCAAATTCCTTCAGGCAAAGGCATCCAGTAAAATCTATTTCAAAACCCTGAGCCCAATACACGGAGCTTCACTCTGCACAGGCAGGCAGAAAACCTGTTGCAGAGGTCTCTCAGAGAGGGAAGAGGTTCTTCAGTGCCTGAAACCTCCAACTCCACCACCAAATACCGAGATAAATCTACTGTTCACACCAACAAGGGAAGGTGTCTCTTTTGTTATTTCTGGACCACACCCCGGAGGCGGGAGGAAAGGTGTAAATGTCCTCCTGGTCCCTACCCCGATTTATACACATACCTGTGCTTTTTTACTTCAAGGAAACACTAATTACGTGTTCCCTGTGAGGGGAGATGCACACAACAACTGCAGTTACAACCTGCGGCCAGTTCCAGATGCTCACGTGCACTTTGCTTGTATTATTACTGCAGAAATAAGCAATTTCCACAGCCTGCAAAAGACAACTTCAAGGGTTTTTTTAACCTTTTTCCTAATCTAACACCACCAGAGTTAATCATGAACACAGGCATCAGCTGCCCCTTTCGCTACAAGAAGATGAGATAGTAGTGGCTCCAGGGGAGAAGGGGGCATGTTCGAATCAAGATTTGTAAATGCAACTGGGTGCTGGCAGGCCACTCGCCTTATCAACACAGGAGCAGATCTAAGCTAGCCGAAATGCAGTTGCGCGGGGTCCTTTACCCTAGGAGATAAGCCAGGGGAGAACATCAGGCCTTTGGAAAACACATTTGCACCCTCTCCAAGGCCAGAGACTCCACCCAGCCTGACTGAGCCTCCCATAGGAGAAAGTCAAAAAATGGAAAGGACCATCCAGGATGACAACTTAGATTTGAAGTGTTTTAAATTCCAGTACAATTTATTAAAAAAAAAAAAAATCCTGTAGCACAAACAGAACCCAACACAATGAATTATTCGGGTAGGAGCCAGCTTCATTCCAGGTCTAATTACAATGTGTAGTGCTTGATTCCTCATAGCCGTTTTTATGAAATCTGTTACAGGTATCTGGTGAGTTTCGTATCACAGTAGTTTGGAATACCATTACTTAGTATTTTCAGCACAAAAAAAGTAAGACACCTAGCAACCAAATTTCTCAATCAGAACCAAAATCAACAGTGCTGGAGAAAATTACCCTTCAA